AGGAGTTGATAGCAGCGTTTCATGCCATCTCCAAAGGCCTGTATGAATTTGTCATTCCTCAGGGTGAAGATGAAAGGGTTCAGAAAAGGGGTCACCACTAAAACCAGCAGTGACGCTACCCTGTTATACTCGGCTGCCTGTGTTTGTTTGGGTTTCACGTAGAGAAACAAGCAGCTGCCGTAGCCGATCGCAACATAGGTGAAGTGGGAGGCACAAGTGGAAAAGGATTTCCTCCGCCCAGAGGCTGACGGGATCTTGAGGATGGTGGAGATGATGTAGGTGTAGGAGACAATTGTAGGGATCAAAGAACCAATGATAATGAAAATAGCCATTAGAAAAAAAATAAACTCTGTAAAAAGAGTGTTCTCATAGGATACTTTGAGCAATTGTCCTCGGTCACAGTAAAAATGGTCTAACACATTTGATTTGCAGAAAGTAAGCTGAAAAGTGGCATAAACTGGCCAGATTTCAGAAAGAAACCCAAAAACCCATGACACAATTACCACCCAACTGCAGGTGCTGCTGTTCATAATGATGTTGTACCTAAAAGGGTTACGCACAGCCACATAACGGTCCACAGCCATCACTCCCATTAATGCCAACTCCGAGGTACCCAAAGAAACGTATAAATATAGCTGTGCAGCACAGGCTGTCAAAGATATGATCTGAGTGCCTGGAAGCAGCAACCCCCCGAGCATAAAAGGGACAGCGGTGGATGTGATCAGGATCTCCAGGACAGAGAGGTGACCCAGGAAAAAATACATGGGGGACTGCAGACGTTTATCAACACAGATAGTGACGATGATGACCGTGTTTCCCATCACTGTCACTGTGTACAAGAAGAAGAAGGTTGCAAAAAGGATACGGCGTACTTCTTGGGAGCCAGGGAAGCCTAAGAGAAAAAATTCAGTGGTGCTAGAGCAATTCCCCAACATTTACTTCTGAGTGTTTTTCCCTTCTGAAATCTAGAGAAAAAAAAATGAGTTAATATGGTTTCCCATCTCAACAGAAGTAGAAACTGTTCTGAAATCCCCCTTCTGCTCACAGGCTGCACACCAAGACTAGAATGGTAGGCGTTCATCTTCTATTATTCCCTGTATATGGTCAGGGGCAATTTTTCTTTTCTTTTCTTTTCTTTTTTTTTTTTTTTTGAGATGGAGTTTCACTCTTGTCACCCAGGCTGGAGTGCAATAGCACGATCTTGACTCACTGTAACCTCCACCTCCCAGGTTCAAGAGATATTCCTGCCTCAGCCTCCTGGGTAGCTGAGATTACAGGCATGTGCCACTACATCCAGCGAATTTTTTTGTATTATTAGTAGAGATGGGGTTTCACCATGTTGGCCAGGCTAGTCTCAAATTCCTGACCTCAGGTGATCCACCCTCCTTAGTCTCCCAAAGTACTGGGATTGTAGGTATGAGCCACCGTGCCCAGTTTAGGGGCAATTTTTCTAACTATGCACAATATGCCAAGAAAATTGCGTTGATGATCCCAGTCCCCAGTGCCATACTGTAGACATGAGAACCTGTACCCTGCCCAGCATGCACCATTGCACCCTCAATGCTCAGTTCACCTGCCTCCCACTCTGCTCTGAACAGCCAGCAGTCAGCCTCCAGGACCACAGTGTGTTCCCTTCTACCACTAACTCCCTTCCACCTGGAAGCTCCTAAACTACTCTGTCTGCCAAGTATTTTCTGTCTTGTAAATTCCTGCTCCAGTATCATGTTCTACACAAAAGTTTTCCTGGCCAGCGCCCCTGAGCTGGTTACTTGATTTCTTTGTTTCATCAGAATGTAGGTTCCATTTATAGGATATTTATTTTAAAGCTTCTGCTTTACTTTCATCATCATTGCTATGTGCTGATGTGCCGGTGAGAGTGAGGATAGGGAAGTCTCCTGAGGAATTTCTGTAAATTCTCGAGGGCAAGGACTGAGGAGCTCTCAATCTACTGGTCAGCTGGTTCCCTGCATGGATTACTCCTTTCTTCCTCCCTATCTTGGGAAGAAAGGCTCCCTTGCTCCTGTCCTCAGTAAATGTGTCTTCTCACAGAAGGCAGGCAACCAGCACCTGGGTTGAGCCTGACCATCTCTCTCCAAGACTCTGACAACTCTTTTCACTGTTCTTAGAGAAAGAAAACTCAGACGAAATACAGAAAGAAAATTCAGACGAAATACAGTATCCTATGAGAACACTCTTTTCACAGAGTTTATTCTTTTTCTAACGGCTATTTTCATTATCATTGGTTCTTTGATCCCTACAATTGTCTCCTACACCAGTGATTGTGATTCCACAATCACTGTACACAGTGACAGTGATGGGAAACACGGTCATCATCGTCACTGTCTGTGTTGATAAACGTCTGCAGTCCCCCATGTATTTTTTCCTGGGTCACCTCTCTGTCCTGGAGATCCTGATTCAGATGAAATACAGAGGTACAAAGAACTTTACCTCTGTACCTCAGCCTCTACCTGTCCCACACTGAACTTGTACTGGGTCTGACAAATAGGAGACTTTAGTCCAATTTCAACATCCTCTGCCTTCAGGATAATCCAAAGCCCTGGATCCATCAGGGGCCCAAAGCCACCAAGTGTGACATCTGAGTTCAGGCCGCGTCCTAAATACAGATGACTCTGGTCTCAGTCTAACAGTAAATTTAGGAAGTCACCTCAGAGCCTATATTTCTTCTATGAACACATTTTTCTCCCAAAATCATATTAAAGATTCTGCTGTCACATATATGAAACAGAGCCTGCATGCTGAGTAACTTAGAATTCCTGGGCTTTATTTTTCACTTCTTTCAGGTTTTTGGTCAAGTATCTGAGTTCAAGTTTTCTCTTCATGCTGTCTAAAAGAACACACACAACCCTTCACTCTCTGTCACCTCATTAGAATATATTTGTCTTTTTAGTGCTCATCAAGAGAAATTATATGTTTACTTTTTATTTTCTGACTCACTTTACAATGTAAGCACCATGAAAGCAAAAAGATTGTCATTTTTGTTCACTATATCTCATATAGAATGAAGTGGTACTGCTTTTGAGTGAATCAATGAATTGATCAGTTAAAGAACGAATCTATGAACGAAGTCCCTCCAAATCTGGCTATGGCCAACACTGAAAGAACTGCTTTCTTTCCCTTCTGTCTTCACTGAGACATTGCTCACTCATAACTCAGTCCTCTCTCTCAGACTCCTTATAAAATGGCAGTTGGGTAACAAGGACAGACTTGATGGAAGAGCTCAGTAGAGTGATTTCCACAATCTCTCTTTGCCCAGGACCAGATGAAAAGAAAGTAGAGATGATGTCAAGGATGGTTTTGACAATAGCAAGGAGTTGTACTGCATCCAGCAGTGAATCAGAGAAGAGCTGAAAGTGCTCTCTGCTGTACAGGAGGAATTTGGAGATGAGCCAATCTCCTTTGCCTCTCTCATAGCTTACCCAGTAGGGTCTGAATGTCCTTGTTCTAGAAAGTTGGCAGGTCTAGAACTTTCCATCCTGAACCTCTCTCACTCTTTTCTACACAGATGGAAACTGCTGGAATTCACTTACCTTCAACGAAATTGAAGTGAAAACCCGTATGACTAAGCCTCAACCCAGACTACATCATGCCTGATTAGTGCTGAGACTGCTCTGTGGGTCAGAAGAAGCTACTACTTCTTCCCTCTCAGTGGAAGAGAAAACTGTCTTCACATATGTATTTAGGAAAAGGTACAGAAATCACAGTACCTCACAGTTTCCCTCTTTCTCTCTCCCTCTGTCTTTTCTTCCACAACGTGTCTCTAAGGAATGTTATTCATTGAGGAAAGTTAGTTCAGAAAAACCCAAGGGATGCAGTAAAGGAGAAAACAAAGAAAAGTTTCAGATCTTCCCTCCTGAGGCTAATCAAGATTTAGAACTCCTAGAAGTTTGGTATAATAAGCAAAGTTAAAATCTTCCTCATCAAGAGTCTGCCAACATCCAGGCTTCCTTTGTCTACACTTTGAATCCTGGTTAGCATCAAACTGTTCGAGTCAGGCCCCTGTGCTTTTTTTTTTTTTTTTTTTTTTTTAAGACAGAGTCTCACTGTCACCCAGGCTGGAGTGTGGTGCTACAATCTAGGCTCACTGCAACCTCCGCCTCCCCGGTTCAAGCGATTCTCCTGCCTCAGTCTCTTGAGTAGCTGGGATTACAGGCATGCACCACCACACCCAGCTAATTTTTGTATTTTTAGTACAGACAGGGTTTTAACATGTTGGCCAGGATGGTCTTGATCTCTTGACCTCGTGATCTGCCTGCCTCGGCTTCCCAATGTGCTCTTATGTTTATTTCCCTAATTCCACTTAGCCCTACAAAGACCAAGTTATCAGCAAGCAGAAGACTCCACAAAAGTTTCCCAGACACACATCAAAAATCCTCAGGGCAGGGAACGGTGCGTGATGTGAGCAAAATATTAGCCTAGGAAGCTCCGATTCCTTTCCCTCCAGAGAAACAAAAGAAAACAGCAGAAACTATCAGAACCAACTTCGCCAGAACTCTGGAAAACATTCAAAGTTTTTCAGGAACCAAGTAAACACTGATTCAAGAAGAAAACAACTTTAAAATGTTAGGAAAAGTTTATCATGTTTTTATTTACCTGTGCCTACACTATCTCCAGCTCAGCGGCAGTCTGCATCTCCAGTATGGAACTCTGGACCCCACTTCCAGAGGGAGCAGAATAAGCCTTAATCAGAAAGTACTGTGTATGTCTATTCAAATAGGTCTGGGGCGACCTGAAGGACTCACACAAGGTCCTCACCTTGTTCACCCAACATAGCAGAACTCACTCATGGTGAAAAGTAGCAGGTATTGCTCAAGAACATTATAAGAACAACTATAATCCTACGGTTACCTAAAGATTACTATTGAGACCTGCAACCCACCATCTAATGCCTCACAGGAAATGTTTGGGAAAGTTTTTTTTTTTTGTTTTGTTTTGTTTTTTGTGGGGGGAATTATGGAGTTCAAATGTACCTGTGGGGGAAATGATGGCCAACTACACACAGCCATGGAGCACCTCTCCCACTGAGAGAGCTCAAAATATCAAGTAGACCAACATATTTCAAACAGATCTTCATAGAGAAAACAGAGTTTATAGAGAAGCTATGCAAATGCCTAAGCTGAAGAGGGAGGAAGCTGGAAATCCTGTACAAGGTTTCTGAGCACTAGTACTAGTTACCAGCCCTAAATACCTCCTAAGTAAGGGATGAATAAATTGATTGCACGGATACTCACTCTTGCTGCAGACCTCTGGGATACTAGCTACAAAAGACCCCACAACCCCCACAGACATTTAAATTGGCAGAGAGATCATCCCAAAAAGTAGGCAGAGACAGCTCCAGCCTAGTGGAGTCTAGGAGATTTTTGCACATTGTGCAGCTGCAGCAAAATGCTACCATAGGTGCCCATTCTCCAAGGCTCCTCATCTTCCTCTGAGTACCTCTAACCCCAGCTGGCTGTGGGACCTGGAGAGAACAGGGCTTCCTGTGTGCTTGTGGCATTTCTGTTCTGCATGCCCCTTATCTGCCAGCTCCTTCCAAGTCAACTGCCTGGCTGCTCCCACAAGGGCATGTACACAGCACAGCCTTCACTGTCCAGCATAAGTGCTTTGCTGGCAGCCCCACCTGAATGCTTTCCCAGGGGCCTGGAAGCACTTTGACTCCCCTAACACAGCCAGCACCTAACCTTGAGAGGTCAGAGGACAAAGCTATGAGCCAGGTCCCAACACCCCAAAAAGGAACAGTACACAATTCAGGAATGCCAAACTGACATCTTTGGCTAGTGATTATGCAGGGCAAGAGCCCCTACTCTCAGAACACTGAGAAGACTAAGACGCAGGCTCCTGGGCAGGTGTGGCAGTGGGGCATTCCTCTCTCCACAAGGCAGGTCCAGAAAGGGTGTGGCCTGTCTGTCAAATGTAGGTTTTGCCCAGGGGAACCCCCTGACTTGGAATACCAAACAAATGAAATGCAGGCATGGTGCCAGTGATTGAAGGAGGCTCCCGTAAAACCTGGCAATGGAACTGGCGAGGATGTCATCTCTCTCCCACCGCCCCCGCCCCCCACCACAGAATACTGCTGCAAATGCACTGAAAGAGAAAAGATCCATACAGTTGAGTAGGAGCCTATCTGCTGGCTATTACTCTTCAGTGCTATCTATTGGATCATAGCCCAAATTACTACACCAAAAATGTTGTTCCAGTATACACCACCTGTAAAACCCAGGGCAAGAACCTAGCGACCAATAAAGGTCCTGTGCAGAGGCTTGACCCTCTGAAAGGACTCAGAGGCAAAGCCAATCAACTATACTCACCTTATACCACAATTAAACCCTCAAGAAAAATAAAGAATTTTTCAAAGCCCCATTCAAATGAAAGCAAATTCAAAAAGACAAAGGGACACC